CCGGTCGTGAGCTGTAGACGAATTATCAGCAACCTTATGAGTAGTGCATCAAACGTTTAAGTGGTTTTCACGGAGTCGCTCACTTAGCTTAGACAGCTTAGCGTGAGGCTGTCTCATCCTAACCGGGCCTTACGCTGGTTGTTACACTGTGGCCACAGTAGAGTCTGTAGTTCTGATCTCGTTTTCAAATGCAGTCTCTGGTTGTTTCAAAATTTGTCCTACTACAAGCGATTTCGTAATGTGATGACGTCATGACTACTGGTTATCGAAATCCCACCTATCGATTGTTGAAGGACCCACCTTGAGTGTACGCAGATGCAGGGTTACACTATCGGTGCCATGTCTTTTTACGTTTGCTTCGATTACCGTCCTAGCAGTGTCATCCTTAGTAGTTGTTAACCGTTCGATAATTTAGATCGATATCCCGAATTTTTTTACCGCTTAAAACAACTTCAGGGGAGAGTTTACTCTGTCAGTAAAGGCAGTCTCTACTGAAATCAAAGAAGCAGCTGTTCCGTCCTTGTTGCGGATAATCAGTAATGTACACCTCACGCAACTCAAAGAGTTTCAAGCCCTCGATCCTCCAGCCAGCTTAGTTGTTAGGCCACAAGCATCTGGCGATTAGCTCTTGCTCGGACGAAAAATTATCTACTTGGATGGCGTCCAAGACATCGGTTATGGCATCAGTTTTCTAAGACATCAGTAAGACCATGATGATCAGCAGTGCCGAAGTTACGGAGCCCTTGGTTAGCTTTCGGAAGTAGGAACTTTAGCTAGATTTCTTTGAGAACACAAGAACAAACTCAATAACTCCCGTTTCGCTTTTTGGCTAATTTACCATTGTACTGAGCATTGACTCGCGTTCGGAACATGTATCGTTCATAATTTCCATCCAGTCATCACAAAACATTGTCTCCTGTTCTATTTTTCTTCGTCAAAGTTGAGTCCACAAATTACCTGAGGGTAATATCACTCACGAGAGACGGCATCATTCACTTGTGCTTGAACTAGGATACCCTAGCGGGAAGCTGCCAAATGCAAGTTGTTGTGGGCCTTCTTGTGAAGTGTTTAGTCTTTGGATATTGTTAAGGTGTCACGACTTTTTTCACGCTAATCCACGACAGCAATCACAGCGTTTCGACAGGAGTTCAGATGTGAATCACTGTTGAGTTAAACTGTTCCTGGGAGCATTTGATCACCAGCATGAAGCACAAAGAATCGAACACCCCACAGGACAGTCTTATCTCCATCTGATCTATGCCGAAACATTTCGATACATTTCCTTGAAACATCAAGCATTTCATAGCGCGAAAATAATTGGAAGTCGCAAACTGCAAACTGTAACGGGGCAACAACAGGGGAAGGTTATCAAAAACAACTACTGCGTATTTTACGCGATAATCACTTTCTTTCAAAGAAATTATATCAACTAGAGCCATAGATTTGGATAAAATAGGGAGAATTGAAGCCCTTGACACGGTCCTGTCTACAGGGGTCGATAATTGATACGAATACTTTAAATTAAGTGTGTGCGAACAAACTTAATCACACAAAGGCTTCTGGTTCACGTGACTGAAAGAAAGCCTATTGACCTTGAAATTGATGGTACAAATACGAACATCTGGTTGCCAGCCAAATAAAGGGGACAAATACCTAATATGGTCTCCTTCACGATACTATGTGTCCAAAATATGCATCCAAAGTTGTTCGTGATACTTGCCAAGAAATGATCACTCTAGGGTTCTGAGGAACCGAACAAAATCAACCCTTTGTAGAAAAACGGTCCATCCTTAAGGAAGACACTTTTTCCAAGAAACTATATCGTTATGCAACGCAAGTAAGTGTTACTTTTGCTTGACCTGTTAAGCCTACTTGCTTTCCATTCCAGAGTGACAAAACCGAATCTTTGTGAACCACTATCGACTTGAAATTTTCGGTCAACGGCTGATAATTCAATGAGAATTTGTTCAGGCTAAAAACTCATCAGTGGATAAAGCGGGATTCGGGTACCTGCTTCACCATTTGAAATTTGGCAGACGTTTTCCAACCTCACTTGCGAAAACCGTTTGCGAAGGCCGCAAGAGCATGGTCCGCTAATTATCTGGTCCTCTACATAGATCATGAAACTATTACCTGACAATTCAGCAACATAAAAACCTCAAACAAATGATCTAACCCAAACAACCCGATAAACTTTTTGTCGCGTTCCCAAAACTGCTAGCCGGACGTCCACGCAGCGAAAGCAAGCTGGTTCTGATGAAATACAGCAGAATGGCCTGTCAAGCGACATATATCGCAGTTGCCTAGCGGTTGTCACAAAATACTACTCAGGAATATGATGTGGATACGTAGACTGGAAACTGGTTTTGTTGTCGGAGAAAGGTAAAGGTAGAATTAGCAGGGGTTATTTCCAGTGGATTATAGACGACGGACTGCGAAGGTGACGTCACTGCGTTGAAATGTGCAACAAGGTTAACTCAACCAAACTTATCGATCAGATGGCATAGAATGATACGGTCAGGGTTCGTCCATCTAACCATGCCATGAAAGTCAAGAACGGGAATGCTATGGAAGAGGCAGACAAAAGTTGGGAACTTATTGTGAAATGCGAGCATTATTTCAGTGACTCAACTACAGTAATGGCACTGCGCTCTGCATTCTGAGATTTGGAGACCCAGTGTCTCCAAGAGATAACGAATGATGTGATCGAGCGCACATGGCATTTAGTGGAATTCAATTTTTTACTTTAGGAAGAATCAACGCTGTGTGCACATCGAGTGGAAGCTACTTAGGCAAACACTCGTTAGGGAGAACTCCCAACCGGAACAAACTGCGCACTGAATTAGCTTCCAGGTTTGAAATTAACCCGCCTTTTTGTGTTTCCTCATGTTGCTTGCGTTTTTCCCGACCAACATTAGAACTACTTCTATCTCATGGCTCACATTTTTTGGCATGAGGAACACACTTGTTCCTTAAGCGGTGCGTGATACTCAGAACAAACAAGTTTAAAAGAAACTGTTTTTCGTGAGTCATTAAGCTTGAAAGGGACATGGTCTCACTGTTACCCTTCTGGTTCATACGTCATCCTCCAATATAGTATGTTTTCTTTCTACACTCCTTGTTTGCTAATTGTTGGTCAAGTCATCGGGATCTCGCTACATCTGAATCATAGCAAAAAACCTCAAGGGAACTAATTAAGTTGTAGTAAAATCAGGTTTTATTAAATTATGAAAAATATTCCGTTTACTCAACGTAGTGACTGAATTTAAGTTGAATTTTCGTTGCGCAAGTTTATTCACTTGTGAACGTGGAATTTTTTTAGAAAACACTCGGGCTCAAGAGAATTTCGTTTCATATATTGTCTTTTCTTCCACTTAAATAACATTTTCTAACGAAAGTTGTCAAACACTGACTTGTAGTGTATATAATAGAGGTTCCAAAGTTACAACTGTTATGTGTGTGTATGTACCAGGAGACGTAAACTTCAGTAGTCTAATGAAAATTGTATATGCGACCTAAATTTTTGTTTTCAGAAGCTGTGGAATTCGGGAAACCTAATTTACTCTGGAACAAAATCCTCCTTAAACGAGTTGTGCTAACAGGAACTCAAGTAGATCTTGATGCAGACATCTTCCGTTACTCTGATTTGCCATTTCTCGCTTGGTTTTTTTCAAGGTCTCTAGTGAATTGTTCTGCCAACTTTATCCAAATCTGACCATCTACTCTACACCTACGAGTTCGCCGGCAGTGAGACAACCCTCTTTAGGTTGGTGTAATCAGGAGGAGAACTAGCCGATGTCTATGGGAAGCAAATTGATCAACTACTTAAGACTGACCATAGGGGAGTGGGAACCCCCGTTACATACTAACACCATACTAGCTGTATTATTTCAGACACCTAAGGTTTTGCACCAGAGTAAAGTCGATTCTGGTTCAGTTTTTCGAAACAGAACTACACCGGATGATCTATCCGTACCTTAAATGATCGTTTAATTTCGACAGATGAAATGAATGTTTGACATTTGTTTTCCTTTGTAAATTCCTCTCCGATAAACAGAGAAGGGAGTGGTTAAGTGATACGAAACCACGCAGGCTACTGGCATTCTGACAGTCTGTTTTCCCAACCACAAGCTTTTCGAAATGACAGCATGCAACGATTTCAGCTCTGGAGGAATTTAAGCTCTCACGGTTTTCAGTGGTACCTCCTAAACGGGAAATCAAATCAGTCAGACCAATTATATGAGGAGTAGTATATGGTTTCCGTCTGGAAGTACTTCATTTGTTATGGTGCATCAGTTACTTGACCTAGTGAATGAGGTTCCAGTACTAGTACGAATCGAATTAATTCTAGTATGCTCAGCCTCCATCAGGCTGCCAGGATGTCGAATTAGCAGGGAAAGCTGAATTTCGGAAGAATTTATACGTATGCCACCCAAGAGAAAGGCACACTGGCCGTTCACCACAGTTATGCATATGTGATTGAACCGCAAGTCCCTACAGGAAAGTGGATGCGTATTCCAGGCGCTGGTGGTTGCGGGATTTTGTAGAATGTATACTCACATGGCTCTCGTTTGAACAATCGTCCTCCGGTTCCAGCGCAATTCTGGTGAGTCAACACCAAAGCGGGGGGAACGTTGGACTCGCATTTCGCTCTTATTGGAGCTCATCACCAGTACATACCCTTGGCTTTGTCGGGGTTTCAACTCCAAACATCTGACATGCGAGGCGAGCGTGCTAACACTACCGGCGCACGTTGGAATCATCCAAAGTTTTACGTTTGAACAGATGAACATGTTCGCACTTGAGTGATGTGAGCGGAATGCCCGACAGCTCCAACGAAGACAATACCTTGGTTGTGTCGATCGATCGGCCCTCCGGTGAGTCCTTGGTCATTTTCTTCACCCAACAACGCGTATTTCTAAATATTGAATGCGAAACATGCAGAAGCTTGTCCACCAAATGTTTAGTCGACCTGGACGACTTTGCGCAATCTGGTCCTCTGCAATTTGTCATTCACCATACGTACACATACATAAGAAGCAATTACAACTCGGTTTTAGTGTTCACATCCGAGAAGATATCGTCCACATATCGGCAGTAGCACGCCTATTCGGTATGCTGGCTCTCAAGGAAGAATTTTCAAGCTTACTCATGGAGATGTCGGCTTGCATTGGAGAATTCGTCCTGCAAGTGCAACCGATCTATGCTGAAAAGCTGACAACAGTTTAACAAGTCTCACACAGCCCTCCAGTTCACTTCGGAAGGAGAAACTTCTTCCATTCCTAGATGTTGGCCTCGAATGACCTCACTGAAATGATTGATGTACCAAAAACCTACTTGGTCCGGGCAATACATTAACTTTAGCAGCTTCGTGCCACTAAAGCAGAAACGGAATCTGATCCATAGCCTTACTAACACAGTGAAGGAAATATGCTCTGATGACTCGCTGGAACAAGAAATCTCAAAACTACCCCAACGTCCTGAGAGACAGCGCGCTCCCCGACAAGTTTATTCTAAAACATTTGAACAGGAGAGAGCCCAACACCTTTACCGCCACAGTTGGAAGAAAATCCGTTTACACTCTCCTCTTGTTTAAGGAAGATATATTGGCCGACCTACTGAACACAAGGCTTTTCCAAGTTTAAAAAAGCTTCTCCAACCGCAAAACTCCGAACCTGGTTTACAAGCAATCGTCTCCGCTTCTTTAATCTCAAGGAAACAGTGCCTGTCCACGCTGTGCAGCGGAATACATCGGGCGCACGACTAGGCAACTGAGCCAAAGAATGAGGGAACACAAGCCGCCCTGGCTAGCTTCTGCAACTAGAAGGACGATAACGAGCTCAGTAGTACAACATCTAGCAGACACAGCGCACAATGTGATACCCATCCAAAGCTTCCGCATTGTTTACCAGGCACCAGCTAATCGACCCAGATCAGTACAGTAACGCGCAATAGCAGTGGCTGAAGCCATCGCCATACGACATGGCAACGCGCAATAGCAGTGACTGAAGCCATCGCCATACGACATCATGATCCGACCCTTCGTCGGCAAAAACGCTTCGTTCGTGCGTTGTTTTTGCCATGGTCCAACTCATCTTCCCATGACCCGACCCTTTGTCGGCAAAAACGCTTCGCTCGTGCGCTGTTTTTGCCATGGTCCAACTCATCTTCCCCACACCAACACAATGCTGGACACTGCCACAGCACTACTCGCTCTGACAGCCTCCAGTCACCTTATCAGAGACCTGAACTACTTGTTTTTTATAGGTTGCCAATGTCATCTCCCATTCGATTTCTTGTTCATGTCCACCATGATCATTTAACTATGTTGAATACTGCTCTCTTAACCTTTCCAACCACATAACTTAAAAAGACCTTGCCAAAAACATGTTCGTCAACTAGTAATTTTATTTCCGTTGCGGTACCCAGAGGTGCTGGGTTATATTGATCATACTGAGTGCTTGTCCTGGTTAGAGAGATTGCGGTTTATACATCTGATGATTCAAAACGGTAATTCTGAGGACAAGATCTGTCCTTTTCCAGGTTGATACGTCATCGCACACTTGCTATCTTGTGCTATTCTTGAAGACACGTGCTGCTTCTAAAGCGACCTGTTCCGAAAAGAAGGCGCCGTCAATGGCACTAAGTGCACTGGTTGCGTTCAAATCAGACTACTGTATGTGCTCAAATATCTTTCCCTAATACGTCAAGCTGTTCTAGCACACTTATAGTGAAGAATCCACATTTGTAGGCTTGTCTGAACACAAGCATCTGGAGCCTGATTTCTCGAACTAGAAGAAAGTGATCGAGTGCGAATTTATTGCCTGTCTACCTCCTAGTGTAGTGTTCGTTTAAGGGGAGAACAGAATACGCAAAAGCACAGGACTATTGGAGTAATGAAAATGCTACAATTTTACCTATCCGGATTTAAAGGTAGATGTCAGATGCATCTATGCATACCAAATTCCATGCTCCACGGACAGACCAGCTGTCACCTGATCTACACCTAGTAAATCCACTCGACGTGAGGGAGCTACGTTGTTTGTTTAAGAAAATGTGAACAGTTACAATCGACCAGGGCTTAATCTGTGAGCCCCGTGTACCTTTCATTCGCTCACTTGTAGAATGTTCTCTCGAAATTACCAAGGACCAATACAAAAGCCGACCCACATTAGAAATTTGGTAAGAAGTTAAATATTCCTTTTCAGATTGCGGTGTTTGTTGTGAAGCATTCTGTCTTTTCCCCATTCTGTAGTTCCTACGATGATCTACTTTGTGAGCCGAACTATCATGTAGGAAGCTGTTCATTTAGCTATTTTGTTGGACCTCTTATACCTAACTGAAGGGCAAGAGAAATGTTTTTTTCAAGATTTTTCTGACCAACCACCAATCCCTCGTGAAGGATAACATTGCACTTCGAGTCAAAAAAGGATATCTGCAAGTTCTATTTACGATTTAGTCAAGCAACTCATCAAGATCTAATTAGTTAACAACAACTCAATCTTTGGCTAAATAGGTTTAGCTAGATACATGGAATAGCTCAAATAATTTTGGTTGTTTTTTGATCCAAACGATCCATATTTGCGCGCGATTTAAATTTTTCTTTTTGACTTATCAAATTCACCATCTCCGAACTGGGCCTGATGTTTATACCTATAATTATGCCGGCTTCCCAGTAGCTGCAATAAAGCATTCCACCACGTACGACTTTCTTAAAGTGTTATTACTAACACCATGAGATTCATAGTATTTTATTAGTTTTATAAAACGATTTGATTCCTTGATTGCATAAAGGATTTTGATATTTCTGGCGACATTTGCCCTGTGAAAGCTGAAAATCCGAGAACCATTGTACATATATTCAATTCCTACTGCGAATCAGGATAAATGCGCGTCTCGCAAATCCCAAGGGAGTCTGAACCAGCGAATTAGTGGCTGGACCTTCTGACCACGAATCGGCACTGAGACTGCAATTAGATAGGATACAGCGCCCCTCATTTGTGTTTCGTGGAGTTCGTATTACGTGGTCACGTGTTGACTGGCTCCTGGTGACGAAACCTCTAAAGAAAGTTTCAGCAACTCGTGGATAATAGGCAGCGCTATACCATGTTAAACTGTAAGCTACACACACTACTGAGAAAACACCGGTGTTCGAATGCTTTACTGTTAAGCCACTAAGCGGGAAGTCTGGGGTTGGAATCCTTCAGGAGGTAGCTGGAATGCGCTCTCCTGATGACTTCCAAAAAGGATGAACCCAATTTACGGTTTTACGGCACGGATTACTTCATACTGAAAGTAAGTCATCAGATGATTATGACGGAATATGTTGTGCAACGTGGTTTAACAGGTTACTATCCAAACTTGCATTTTTACATGACCTCCCGTCAACCGACTCAGATGTTACTTTAGGAGAGGCTAGAAGCAAGTCAAGATGACCATTCTACAGTTCCCTCACCTGCCCCATCAAGAAAGATGTAGCTGGCATGTTGTATCTTGATAACATGTATAGTCCCTGTTGGTGTATGCAAACCGGCTGGTCCAAGTTGCTATACACCAAAGTCTTTTTGTGATCTATGGCATCGGATGAGCTTTACGATGTTTTGATAACTCTCTGATAGGAAAGCCTTTGTAGAAACTCTAGTTGATGTTCGCCTCAGCATATTTTCTAGGGCCCAAGCCAATGAGTTTACTGAATCCCTTTAGAGTGAGAGCTGCTCAGACTACAGTCATTAACAACCCTTCAATATTCAGCACTTGTAATGTGTGGAACATCGAGCCACATAGAGTATGCTTTCTGGCGGAAACTTGCCAGATACTCTTACTCAAACGTTTCCACATAACGTCCCAGTGATCACTTAAAAAAGGATTCGAGCTGCTTACTTAAACAGGACAGAATCTACGATCTAATGGCCCCACATTGCAGCACGCTTCTCCTCACACTCTCAGACATTCAAGCATTTGCAAATAAAATTCAACATAGTATTCAGCTTGTCACTAATAATTCTAATTCATAGTTAATAAATCGCCATCTACTTGATGAGAATCGTAAAAACTTCGTGTTCATCCGCATACTGTCCGGTTCAATCCGCCTGTGAGCCTGAAGCGATGCTGTCTTGTTTCTAACAGGGTGGGAGAATCAGTCAGTAAGCTCGTATCATCCTCTGTGCCAGTATTTAACACTTCGGTCGTGACTGGAGTAAACTGGCTATCTATTGGCAGATCTGTTGCGGCAGAAACGAAAACTTGTAGTTCATACACGCCAAGTTCTGCTTACTCACTAAGCTCTTCTTCTACATAGTTGCTTAAAGTATATGTGTACTTACTCAGTAGGATGTCTGCAACAGATCTTATACAGGCTTAATAGACAAGAAGAACAGATCCATTCTCACTCCGAAAAATGGACACTTTGTTTTCTACGATCTTCTGGTTTATTAAACTAAAAAAAACACTCGATCCGTGTTACGTGGTCGAGCTCATGGAAGTGGACTTTTTGAATCCTGGACATGATACTTCTCAGTAGGTTGATTGAAGTTATTAAGTTGTGGACTACTTTTGCCGTTCGAAATAAACTACAATGAAAAGCCCCCGGGTTACTACTAAAAAACAAAGCAGTTTTTATAAGTATTTTAGCATTTCAATGAAAAAAGCCCTCTTGTAGAATGAACTCCTCTCTACTTTCACACCAGTAAAGCAATTTTTTGAGACCTACTACCCGAGCAACAGGCATTGCTCAAAGAACTCTTCAAACAAAAATCACACCGCA